TCAGAAATCGAGGCTTGTGGCTACCTCCTGGAGTGCTTTTTCAATCATTGCCCCTAGGTCTGGAATGGCCTGCCGGACGAGATCCGTCTATTAACATCCTTAGATAGCTTTAAAAAGGCGGTCAAGATGGATCTCTTCCGGCAGGCCTTTCCAGATTAGTTATCCCACCTCGGACACTAATAGCCGCACACGGATGTTCCTCAACGTGGCCCCATCGACAGATGGAGAGGACCATTAGTCAGGCTTATTGGTTATCTTGTATTGGGTTTTTAAACTAAAATGGAATGATGTTTTAATTAGTCATGATTTAATAATGTTTTAAGGCGGGGTGTTTGTATTATATGTTTTATTCGATTGTTATTTTAAACTTGTCAGTTATTTTAAACTTGTCAGTTATTTTAAACTTGTCAACAAGTTATTTTAAACTTGTTATTTTAAACTTGTTATTTTAAACTTGTAGTCCAATCCTGCCCGGATTGGACTACCATTGGGCGGGATACAAATAATTTATTATCTTCCTTTTGGATCTAGTTCTAAGTAAATTCTGCAAATAATGTAACTCTAGGATACTACAATCCTGTATTGTATGCTGACCTTTGAAGAAGTGTGAAATGTACAGAAGTGTTGATACTGAAAGATTTAAAAAGACTCTGACATACACATGCTTCACTTGAGCATGTCAAAATATAATTGTGCACTTCTTCTCTAAAAAAATATACAAATGTTCTTGTATACAAAATTGCAAGGTAGCATTTCTTTCACTCTTATGTTTTATGTTTTAAAATGTTGTAACCCGCCCCGATTGCAGAGCAGAGGGGCGGGCTAGAAATAAAAAATTATTATTATTATTATTATTATTATTATTATTATTACACAGGGAAAAAACAATTCAAATGATTTCTCCCTGTTTGGAATGATTATGAAAGTGTTAATGCATTTTTAAATATATTACAAAAATTTCATTCCCCAAACAATCCTTGTAAAACAAGGATTACAATGTATTTTTTCACAAAGCACTTGAATTTTGTGTAAATGTAGTTTTTGTAACAAGACCCATAACGTTAAAAAAATATCAAAAAATAGGTGAAAACACTCACATGTTTACATGAGTCGAGATAAATTTCTCACTGAGAACTAGAAAATGTGAAAATATTATTTACATTCCCAAATGCATCTGTTGTGGGAAATGTAACTTTATCTTACTGAGCAAACATACAAGATAGTTCTTTCCCTCTCATGCTTTACAGTACATGGATCTAAGTTCATTCTTTGGCAAACACTGATTTCATTATTACATCAATGCAGCTCATAAATAGCTTGACACTTACAGAAACATTTGGTGTTTTGAACTCATACTAAACAATATACAATATATAAACAAAAATGACCATCTGGTTGTGATCATTTTCATCAGAGCTATTGTACAGTAGGCAAAACTTCCAATTTTATTAAGCAAACAGTTAATGGCTTACCTTGACATGCACCAGTGCGGATGTTGGGGATGAAGCCACGGCGACATGGCTGGGGCTGAGCAGGGCACATCTCACAAGGATGTCCCCATGCACGTCCAATCGTTGCACAACAAAGAGTCTTCGTGCAAACAATACCAGTCAGCTGACCTTGACACATCTGGTTACTGACCTGAGTAAAACAAGGGCCTGTTCTATAATCTGGAAATTAAAAGGAAACATTTTAATACTAGGGGAAAAAAAACCCATGTTTATCTATATAAACAGAGCAACTGTTCCTTGTGGTTCACATATCTGATGAAGGAATCTATTTCCTATGAAAGCTTATCCCATAGTAAAC